AGAGTTTTTCATACCAGAATTGCAAAACTTTTCAGGCTTTAATGCCAGGACGTGGTTTCAACAGGATGGGGCCACTTCTCACACCTCTAACACTGCTATGCCCGTTATCCGTCAACTTTTTCCTGGCACAGTGATCTCTAAGAGAGGAGACATTTCCTGGCCTCAACGTAGTCCAGATCTGACCCCGATGGATTTTTTTTTGTGGGGCTACCTTAAGGCTAAAGTATACGACACAGACCCGCGGTCAATTGAGGCCCTAAAAGAAAACATCCGCAGAGAAATGACAAGCATTTCAGCAGTGACGTGCCGCGCAGTCATCGACAATTTTAGACGTCGTTTGCAAGAGTGCCGTGATCGCAACGGATTACATTTAGAAAATGTTATTTTCAAAAAATAATTCCCGTTTTTTAAGCTTTTTTTGTAAATAAAAATTTAATTCATAATGTAATTAGTTTTATTTTAATATTTTTTTTTCATATCAAAGGACTTATGGGCCACCCTGTATAAGTCTAGGGTTGGTTTTAGCATTTCCGACGGGCGAGATTTTTTGGCGCCCCCTTTTTTGGTGTCGGGGGAAATTTTCCAAAGATATGGTTTCTTTGACTATGAATGATGGGCACTACAGGCCTCCTTTTATATCGGAGTCTGGTGCCTGCGACACCCTCTTATGCCCAACGCCCTGGGCGGTTGCCCACCCTGGTCCTACTACGTGGTTACTGTATGGGTCTTGTATATAATAGTATTTGTTTCTCTACAGGGCTTGTATAATAGAAGCATTCGAACGATCGAAGAAAAAATGGAAGGACGGAAAACACATCGAATGATTTGTTGCCTTATTTATATTGTGAGAAAGTTATTTTCCATCCATTTCTAACTTTATTTGGAACACGTGTTTCAATGTCTTGCTCAAATAATTCTAAGGGAATGAATACATACATATCCCTTTTACGACAAATCGGAAATTAAACATTTTTCGTAATTCAATATTACATTTTGTGTCAGTAAAGTCGTAAATTCGTGCTTGTTCATTTTTAATGATAAAATATTCTTTAACCTGTTGATTAAAATCTCATCGTAAATCTATTACCGACCGAAAATTTAATCTGATAATTCAAATTTTCGGACCATATTAGCGTTAACTCATCAAAGAATTTCGTGATATTAAATATAAATAACCATACCCACTGTATACATTCAAAGTCCTAAAAGTATACAATAATGTATACTTTAAGTAGAACTATTTATCATCTTTCTATGCGTTCCCTCCTCAGTCGAATAAAGCAACACATCTTAAATGCAGATGTCTATGGGCAATGGTCACTTTACTGTTTTGGCGATTTTAAGTGGCCGCTTGCTCTTTGCCACTATTTGCTATAAATAGTACATGAAGTAGGCAACAAAATATGCGTACTTTAATACGTCATGATAGTTTGTCTCTGTCGCACTTTAGTTTTCGCATGTGCTTGTCCCTCTCACGCCAGATCAGAGCACAATTAACCATAAATAATGTAACAAATGAGGAGCATCTGCAAGTGTAGTGCGTAAAATATGTGTCATATCATTTTTAAAAATGTTATTTGC